AAAAAGCCAGAAGTGGCGCTGTGGCTCAAGTGGTAGAGTACTAGCCTTGAGCTGAAGAGCTGAGGGACAGAGCCCAGGCCCAGAGTTCAGGCCCCACAACTGGACCTCCCCCGCCCCCCCCCCCGAAAAAAAATTATCTATCTTCTAGGAGTGGGTAGGATGGGCCAGGTGCAGGCACTCACGCTTATAATCTTAGCTACTCAGGAGGCTAAGATCAGGACTAAGGACTAAAGTATCATGCCAGTAAGGGCAAAAATTCGTAAGACCTCATAGCAACAGAAAAAGGTAGATGTGGTAGTTCACATCAGTCATCCCAGTTATGATGACAAGCATAAATAAGGGGACTGCAGTCCAAAGAGCAAGACTATCTCAAAAAAGGAAAAATAACTAGAGCAAATATGACTGGAGATGTGGCTCAAGCAGCAGAGCATATGCTTAGCAAGCACAAAGCCCTGAGTTCAAAACCCCAGTCAAAGGGTTAAGGGGAGAGAAATTGTGGCAGAAGAGGTGAGGAGACAAATTATTTTTTTTTTCCAGTAAGAGAATTTTTTATTCTGAAATTTCTTTGTCCTCCTGGACTATAAGTTGAAACCAGAAAGCAACTGACACGGCAGTTAGTGAATAAGCTCCCCTCTACTATTAAAATGCTAAGTTACAAGGAGGTAACAGCTGCCATTTTGAGTCTTTAATTCCCATTTCTTACATGGGGAGCAGGAAATGTTTCTCTTTGGCTCTATTTTAACCTGTTATGCTAAAATAAATCCTGATAAAACTTTCACTTTGTAAGACTCCTTTTTTTTTTTTTGCTAGTCCTGAGGCTTGAATACAGGGCCTGGGCACTCTCCCTGAGCTTCTTTTGCTCAAGGATAGCACTCTACCACCTGAACCACAGCTCCAGTTCTGTTTTTTTCTGTGTAAGTGGTACTGAGGAATTGAACCCAGGGCTTCATGCATGCTAGACAAGCACTCTACCATTGAGCCACCTTCCCAGCCCCAAGACTCCTTTTTGTGACACCTTGAAATGTTTTTCAAGTACAAATCTCAGGGACCTCTGATTTTGTGTGGAAAATGGGAAGCTGCCAAAAACCCTGGTGACAAGATGACAGCGATCCAATAAAATAACAGAATTTAAAGGAGAAGCAATTACTTCCAATTGGCAGAAATTAAGAAAAGATTCATAAGACATCCTACTGAAAGAAGGTTATGTTCTAAAAACCCAGTGTAAGCTAAGAATCTTTTAAGTCAAAACACATTTAACCCACCTACCTAGCAAACATCATAGCTTAGCAGTTCAATCAATGTGGAATATCAATTACTGACCCTCATTATCACATTGCTGCCTAGAAGCTGTGGCTTGCTACCTCAGCACAGCATGTTAAGATATAGATTTTATATCACCAGCCCAGAAAAAGATCAAAATTCAAAAGTGAGAGAGGATAGCTCAGTGGTAGTGTGCTTGTCTAGGTGCACAAGGCCCTTGGGTCAAACCCCAGCACTTAAATAGAAAAAGACAAAACTGGTATTTACTTATTTTGTGCTTATTAACCACATTTCAAGCTGTGGCTACTTTTCATTTAGACTTTATTAGTTGTCAGTTTTTAAGGTGTCAATCTCAAAAGGTTTTCCCATTATAAAAGCAATACATGCTCATTTAGAAAGTTTAACAATAATAGTAGTGAAAATATATTTCATTTTATTCATAGTTCTTCCTTCAAAAGACAGCCATTTTACTAGTACTCAGAATGCAGAGACAAGTGAATGGTGAATTCAAGGCCTGCCTGGGCTCCACAGCAAAATTCTCTCTTAAAACTAAAGACCGTCATGTTAGTCTATTTCTAGAAACTGCTTTTCCAACCCACCATCTTTATTCCCTAAAAAGCAGGACAAACCTTATCGTGGGTAGGCCTGCCAAGGAGCCTCAGGGTCAGAAAAAGCCTAAGGTGTCATGAGGTCCAAAGTGATAATGCTCCCTGCTTTTAAACATGAAGAAAAAAATGTGCCAGCAAGCACTTAAATACAGACACAAATCAAGTAAGAAGGCTGTCCCTATGAGCTGGGTTCAGTGTAGACTAAGGCTGGAATGCTGGGTAGGAGAGCATGCTGCTCCTTAAGAATCAGCAGCAAGATAGTGTACATTCCCCTTCCACATATTAGGAGTGCCTTCTTTAGGAGACACATTTTTCTTTCCTTTAGCTCTCACCATCTTGCACCTTTGCCAATGAAAACTAGGATTGTATGATCCTTCAACTGCACAGACGGCTTCCCTCCTGGGGCTCTGCAGCCTGCAGTTCTAGCATCTGTACAAATGGTATCAATGCCAGCTTTCATCCTGGCACAAAGGGTTATTAGTATTTTCAAAAGGCTAGTTAGGACTTTGTAAACAACAGTAGACAAAATGTTTACCTCTGTCTTAGTCTCAGGGGGAAGAGGGAGGGCTGACAATAAAACTCAGCCATCCTTAAACTGAGACAAAGGGAAAACGGTGGGCACTAACTGTGCCAGGAATCCCCATAAGCACCTTATGTTAATCCTTACAACAATCTAGAAGTAAGATATCTTTATTTTTTACTTGATAAATGAGAAACTCGATCAGAGAAGTTAAGCTTTCTAAAAATTCTACCCGAAGGAGATAAAGCAAGAACCTGAAACCTTCTGCTTTCCCTGCTGTGCCTTGTGTCTGTGCTAGGCTCCACCTGCTGGTTAAGGGAACCTGGGCAAGTTCCTTCCTCTCCACCCACACTACTGCACCCCTGAGGCGAAGGCATCCTAGACATACCAACAATGAGTCAGCCCTTAGAAATGGAGCTTTGAGTCAGCACCGCAGGGTAAGAACCCTCACTCTTTCCACAGTTAGCTAAGGGCAAGGTGAACACGGAATGCTTAGAGAAAACGGAAATGAAATCCAGCTGTTCCTTGATAACCAGTTAAGGAAGCAAGAGATAATTCTTGCTTGTTAAGCAGTGTTCTGCAAACATTAATGTACAATCTTCTGGGGCTCTTATCAGCTTTGAGTGGTAACAGTCTACAAATAATCTTATCACTAAGTGTAAGCATTATGCCCACCTTTGGTCTTCAGCTCCACACAGACCTGAGCTCCTCCCAGCCCTGCAGTTCCTGCAAGACAGCTGGCTCCTCCCTCTCTCTACCCAGACCCACCTGAGCTCCCATCTACCTCACTTCCTACCCCTAGACCCTGCTGCTACCTAGGTAGTGAAGGGTGCCATGTGAGCTCCCTCTCCGGGGGGAAATACGTCTCCTCTAATAAACCTAATGACAACCTTTCTCCTGTGCCTGCCTGCCTCCTTCGTGGTCCCCTGGGATGGATGTGATGGATCCTTTCACTAAAGGAGTGGAGATCATCTGAAATGATCTGAAAAGTTTGATCATT